GGGGCGCCGAGCTGCGAGCGCTCGCACAGGCCCGGCAGGTCGTCCTCCTGCAGCGCCTTGTGCTGTTTGTAATAGTCCTCCAAGACCTCTCTGCCGGCAGGGCTGACGTCTACCACGCCTGGAGGGAAAATGCCCCGCCTGTAGTTCTCATACCATTTCAGCTGCCCGTTCTTGTAGCCATAACGGCTGTCTCCAAACCAGCGGATCACCTCCGCCCGCGGCAGGCCCGTCTGCGACACGATGGCATCGTATTCCTGGTTTGTTGGCCGTTGCGTCTGCACAAACATTTGTTTAAGCAAGTGCCGCTGCTGGGCGGTCTTTTTAAAGTTCAGTTTGGTTTTTGGAGGAGTGGGGGGCCGGCTGGGGCTGCCGTCCCCTTTCTCGTTTGCACTAATCCCTGGTACTTCACCTTTGCCGTTGGACTCCGTCACCCGGAGATTTTTCAGGTTGATTTTGATGGGACTCACTTTGCGCTCCGCTGAATTTGGGTTGTTGGTAGATGCATCGATGGAGCCGTTTTCACTTGAGGCCCTCAGGTCATCTGAAGAGTCTTCCTCTCCACAACCATTTTCAGCCTCTTCCTCCTCCTTTTTTTTACTTTCTTCCGCCACCTTTTTTTTCCTCCTTTCAGAGAACCAGCTATCAATTTCTCTACGCGTCATTTTGGTCTCGCCCCGCAGGCGATTCACCTCTTCCTCCGGGGGAAGAGGATTTTGTGCAAAACTGCTCTCTAGTGCCTTCAGCTGCTCTGGCGCTCGCTCCTTGTATTTGGTCGGGGTGAAGTCGGGTGTTTGATGCCAGGCTTGCCGTCTCGTTTGGTGATGAGTGACGGGTGTCACTGCTGTTGTAGAAGCCAGCTCTGCTCCTTTGGGTGGCACGTCAAAGGCCATTTCAGGCAGAGAATCCAGAGTATCTCCGGCAAACGCAGCTCTGCCGCCTTTTACGTTCCTGTAATGGTACCTTCTATCACTAAACCATTTTCGAATTTCCTTCACGGAAAGGCCTGTAATTTTTGACAGCCGCTCCACTTCGACCTGGCCAGGGAACTGATTTCTGTAGAAGCTGCCTTTCAGTGCGGACAGCTGCTCGTGGGACTTCTTGTTTTTGTAAATGTTGGGGTCCAGGAAGGCTTGTGAGGAGATGGCGGGACACGCGGTGAGCAGGGCCTGGGCGCTGTTGACCACTTTGACGGTCGATGCGTTATTGGAGCTCACGGTGCTGTGCTGCGTCGCGGGCTGGGGCTTGGCAACCGAGGTCACTGCTAACGAGAAGGAGGAACCGGTTCCTTTCAACCCATTGGTCATTATGGGCTGGGTAACGAGCAGGCCCCCTGTTCCTTCGGGCTGCCCAACCACATGGCCAGGTAAAGTGGCCTGAATAAGGTGCGGGACGTTGCCAGGGTTTGCAACTAACGGTGTGTTTAAAACCGTAATTGTGGGTTGTGGCACAGACTGAATAACTGTGTTAAACATCTTTTTCCTGGCATCTTCTATCTCCTCTGGTGACCAGCTGATGCCTTGCTTCAACCTCTGCGCGGTAAACCAGATCTTCAGCTGCTCTTCTGGGTATTTTGTCACCACAGTCAAGTAGCAGAGCTCAGCTTTCGTGGGGTAAGGGAACTTGTGGAAAGAGTTTTTCAGGAAGCTGTTAGAGTCCATGGCTGCGTTGTATGTCGGAATGCTACTCAAGGGAATCATCACCTTGGGAAGGGATTTGGATGTAGGGAGCTGCTGGTGCATTGGTGGTTGCTGTGGTAGTGACACAAGCTGTGCAACACCAGCCTGCAGAACAGGCACGTTTCCTATGATGGAGCCGTTCACAACATGAGATGATTTTGCTGAGCTTGCCGGGGGCTGGCTGGCCGGCGCGGACCCGTTTGTGAACGAATGCTCTGTGTCCTTCCCCTCCGACTCGCCGCTCAGTTGGTTCGACGGGTTCTCTTTCAGCGTGTGGATTTTTTTGGCCTCGGGCTTGCCTTTCATGATCTTCATGATGGGGGTTTTGGTGATGATAATTTCAGACTGACCATCCGCCGCTTCTTCGGGGACCTCTCCAGGAGGGTCGTGGCTGCCGACGGCCTCACAGAGACTTTGTTCCACGGTTGTTTGCTTATCCTGCTTAGCCACGCTCCACACCAAGCTTGTTTCACCAGCGTGGGACTCTGCGTTGTGCTGAGAGAGCCCTTCGTGGCTTTTTGCCAGAAAGCTGCATGCAACACACACGAACACAGGATCTTGGCTAAAATCTAAGTGCTCAGAGTCCAGGTGACCAATGAAAGGATGAAGCTCTTGAGATCCAAAGTTACAGTACTTGCACACATAAGTATCGCTGTCAGCAATACCACGGTGCCCGTTGGATAATGCTCTGTTATTACTGTTGCTTGCACCTGCATCGCTGACTGCTGGCACCTCAGGAGGAACATCCTGTTGAGTTCCTTTATGATCATCTTTTACAGCATCCAGTTCGGTCTCCTGAAGCACCAGTGTTTTTACTGGTATCATGCAGGGAGTCGTGGATTTTCTTTTGCTAGCCATGACTGTAATTAATCCAGATGATTTTTTTAAAAAAATTAAATTAAATTAAAATTTAAAAGTGCTATTGCAAATGTTCTGTGGTCTAGATTCCAGCAAATTCATGGTGTCCCAAGGAGCTGTTGTCGAATGTTGACAAATGTTCATATTTGCCACTGAACCTGAGGACAAGGAGAGAGAGGAAGGGTTAGTTCCCTTGGCACTAGACATAGCACAACTGTCCTGGTATTTAACTGTTGCACTCAATAAATCATTTTCAGCCTGCTACACTGGAAAATTTTAACTTGACCTTCGATTTACCATACTTTCATAAGTACAAGCAGTGAATTATCTGTTTAAAAACCAAAAACACAAAGCCAACCTGTGCCAATCTGTGATTTGGCAGCGGAGCAGATTTCCCAAGGGGAAGCTGACCACAGAACTTCCCTCCCAGGTGCCTCCTGGAGCCTGCTCTGCCACCTGTTTTCTTTCCTTGCCCATAACTTGAGCCTTTTCCCCCAAAGCCTTGAAGCATCCAGTTCTACGCACAACCAGCATTCGATGTGAGGTGGATCCAAGAGCTTTTTTCCCCCAAATGCATTACTTTTAAAAGAACGGTGGGTATTTGTGGTGTATTATGTGCACCACAATTCTCATCTGCTGCTGGGATTCACTTGCTCCCATGCAGTGAGAGGCCAAAAGCAGAGGAGATGCCCGGGCTCCAGGCTCTGCGCTCAGCGTCTCTGCACCAGCACGCGGAGGCAGCGCCAGGCAGGTCACCCTGGGCCACCTGCCTGGTTTCCATCAGAAAACCTGACGAAAATCAACACGTTCCCGCAGAGTGTTTCGATTTCTTCAAAACTGCCATTTTCCAGACGTCCTGTCAGAAACTTTCGTGCCAGCTCCAAGCACCATGCCCGTGCCAAAGGCCTTTGCGTGCAGAAACGCCTGCAGAGAGCAGACGGTTGCTGTTGCAGCCATGTATTTTGGCCATCCTTACTCGGGAAGCAGGCAAATCATTTGTGAGCTTGCCCCCTGCCACCACACACACCCTTTGTTATTGTTTTAACAGTATCTTTGAGTTTTGGGCTGGACTTGCTTGCAGGAGGTCGGGCCCCCAACGCCAAGCACGGTTCGGCAGCACCCACTTATCTCGGGTTCTCCAGCCTTCCCCATCCTGCAACACTTAGGACTGTCAACATTCACATAACTTAGGCAAGGGTGGCTATTTCCTGAGAAAGTGCCATTTCTCCCTAACACAAGTCCATTTTTTCTGGGCTTGAGGTGACCAGAGATCTGCTTAAAAAGGCTCCGGTTTTACTCTGAAGCCGAATTGACTGCCCAACTGCAGCAGCCTGCGAAGGCTGGGGCTGGATGGGGCTTTGCCAAAACGCTGTTTCTGGTCGCTGCAGTTCTGCAACCTGCACCGCGATGCCCCAAGGCTGAGAGCGCGACCCGAGGGCACCAGAACTGCCTGCTGCAGCCGGCACCGGGACTCACTTGCCCAAATGGGTCCTGGTGACGGGGAAGGCAGCAAATCTGATGGAGAAACATCTCCGTCTTTAATCTTTTACAGGAACCCTTTTTTTTTCCCCCTTTAAACACATGGATAAAACTGTAGTTTTTCCAGACTGCAAGGTCACTTGGAAGCATATGGACACACTTATTCATATTACAAACCTTCTGTGCCAGACTTTCCTGGGATTTACAGTAACAGAGATGGAGCTTTATAAAAACACTAATAAAAATCTGAACTAAAAAAAGTATTAAAAAAACAACTTACCATCCTACTAGACAACCCACAAAGATAACTCCTAAAACACTAATAAAAATCTGAACTAAAAAAAGTATTAAAAAAACAACTTACCATCCTACTAGACAACCCACAGAGATAACTCCTATCAGTTAAAGCAGTTGTGCACCAATAGTTTTCTTATAGTGTATCTTCTGAGCTGATCTCATGCATAAAAAAATGCAGATCAGGCAAATAACTTGGTAGCGCTTTTGCAATATTTACTCTGCCTTTTTTTTTCTTTTTCTTTTTTCTTTAAAAAGAATGAAAGATCCAAAAATCAAACTAAGTAAATCTGAACATTAGGAAATTAACTAGAAATGCATTAGAAATTAATAAAAAAATATGGTCAGGAAAAAAAAATAGTTTTAAAAATAGAAGAGCCGGGATGGCCAATTCTGGTCTCAGCAATTTTCAGGCACAATTTAAAAGACTGATGGGAAAACGTAACTTCCCGTTAATGTGGGCTGATCTGAGATTACAAAATAATCCTGTAAATAGTGTTAGTCATCACTGAACTTGGCATCGGAAAAGACTGTTTGCTATGCAAAACCTTCATGAACAGCTAGAGATTATAACTTAAAAAAATCTAGAAATAAGAAAGTATTACTGAGGTGATCTGGATTTAGATGGTGTGAACTTGGTGCTCTCAATACCTGCATTATGCCACTTTATCCCACCTTTTTGTGCTTAGCCTTTCCATCTGCAGAGGGCCACAGAGTCACTCATCACCATTAGCCAGCAGAAGATTTGGATGACTATGAATGGGCTTTGCTATTCAGGAGGGAACTGCATCCCTTTGACACCAACCCCAAGATTCTCATTTGCGATTCTAAGTTAAATATTACACAACCTAGCAGGGTACGCTGACCTTTCCAAGCCGAATCAATTAGGAAAAAAACAATAAGAACAGCCTCGAGGCTACAAAATACAGCTCCGAAAGCCGAAGGGAGCTCAGTGTCATGGAAGCAGCAGTAACAGGGGGTTCTGTTACTGCACAGAGCTCTCCGGAGTTACGTTCACCTCCTCTGCAGCTCGCAGCTTTCACGGATACTTGTTTGATTTCCTTCGGCAGCTCTAAAACAGGTCAGGGAGAAACTGCTGGGCCCTCTGCAAGTGTTGCCTTTCCAGCAGAGCTATTAATAGAGATCCAGCTCCAGAACCTCCGTTGCTGGAGGCAGCTCAAGTCCCGGCTGGATCGTCCCCACGATCAAAACCCACGATTTTTATCTCTCAACTGAGCAAACTCGACGCAGAGCAATCGAGATTCACCGAGACCCCCCGTGCCATTTGCACAGGTGCCTCCCCGAGCCTGCAGCCACGACGGCCTTGGGTGAATCCGAATGGCCTGACCCACCTACAGGGGCTCCAAAAGCTCCGCGTTTTCCAACACGTTTGCAGCAAGCTCCGTGCTTTGCCCAGCAAGGCTGGCTAAAAATGCACTCCAAGTCGCACCAGCCCGCACAGCTCCCCTGCTGGGGATCCAATATTAATGCCACCTCAGAACACAGATTGCCAATTTAGCTGGAAGTGAATCACTGTGTCAATTTACTAGGAAAAAAAAATTAATCAAGTGAACTGTTTGTCCATTTCATTTCCATGGAACAGTTACATAACCGCATGTTAAGAGCATGTTTTATTCACTGTTCAGCTCCTGGAATGTACTAATACTTTAATGCACCGCTAATATGTAACAGAACGTATAATTCGTCCCTTTTGCTGTCGTTAGAATAAGCAGGGCTGTCTTAATGGATGGGTTAATTTAAGGGCAGAAAAAGTATTCAATTAAAAATCAGCCCCGTATACCACCACAGTAAGGGTTTAAAACCAATTTGTATAGTAATGTGTGGAGAACAGGACTCACCCTGTGCCTGACTAACGCAAGGAGCCGGAGCTGAATGACAGATGTCTGCCTGGCAGCCAGGAAGACCATGGAATTATGCTAAAATTGATGGCTCCTGTTTAACCCACAGCTGCTAACTCAACAGTGAAATAAAACTGCACGCAGAAGCCACCACTCTGAAATTACCTGGGTACTTAAACCTGTCACTGGAAATTCAAAGGAAAAGTGCCTTAAAGCAGGGTCAAACAGCTGGGGGCCCAACGGTGCTCACGGCGAGGCTAAAGACAGGAGGAGGAGCAGCCTCAAGGGCGTTTCGGCCTGGGTCTAGCACTGTTTGATCCTACCCCAGCACCTGGCTGGAAACACGTTTTCTTCAGCACCAGCATCTCCAGAACTGGCAGGTGCCTCTTCACTGCAGAACGGAGCCAGCAGCGCTCGGGTCTCGGCTGGTGACGCCGCCGCGCGACGCGGGCCCAACCGCAGCCGTGAGGCACACGCGCGTCTTGGGCCTGCGCAGCTCCTAATCACAAAGTGAAGAAAAACAAAGCAGTGTTGGAGGCACCTGCTGCATTTTCTGCAGTTTTCTGCAGCGCTCCCCAGGCCGGCACCACAGGCACAGCCACGTCGCTTGTCATCGATCGGGTTCTCGAGGCCTGTGCCCGGCCCCAGGAACGTGGCCCGTACGAGGCCACCGAGGCCCCGCATCCAGCCAGACCGGCTTAAAACCATGCAGAAGGAGCAGCACAAATGTGCTAATAAGCCCACGATTTAAACCAGCCCTGTGGTTCGGATCAAGGTAATAGGGGAGGCAGACAGAAACCGCTAAACCCCGGCTCCTGGGCAATGAAAACAGCACAGCACTTTCATCAAAGACAGCCCTAAAACTCAAACGCGGCTTTAAACGCTCCCTCTGGCAGCTCTTTCCATACCAACCTTCCTTCCTGCGTACCCCTCCGGGCCCAGGTGCGCTCTGCTACCGCGCGGCACGGCGGATCTGTCCCCTCGCAGGAAAACGATGCTGCGAGACTGGTCAAAGTGAGCCTAACAATTTCAGAAAATTTACTTCTGCAGAGATTAACAAAGGGAGGTTTCGAAATCCGCACTGCTGAGTATGAACTTTCAGCTTTTTCCAGCTTGGCTGGATATAACTGGTTTGGTTTTAAATGTTTCAGTGAATTAATGAGTTAGGTTGTTAATGCAAAACATTCATTCTATGCGGTGCCAAGGTCCCCAGTTAGAAGATTAATTTTGTGACCTTTCGCAAACCTCGCCTAGGAACAACAGCAGAACCCCCTCCGTGCAGCATCGCTGGACACCCCGTGCCCAGCAATACCCAGCAGCTCCCACCTCGTCCCCCTGCAACAGGGACCACGAGAGAGACACATTTCTCTGCCCCAAAACAGCCTCCCCCCGGCTCCAGCAGCTCTCATACGAGCTCTAATTCTCTACACTAACATTTTAGCATGATTAGGTACCATAATTTGGACTCCAGTGTTCAGTGCTGCTCTGCTGAAGGGTAAATGCAAGTAAAAATAAAAAATAGAGAAATCCCCACTCCAAAATAGAAGTAAAATAACAGTTTT